ACGGTGTTGGAAGCAGGGAGATCACCCCCTGCAAGTCTCTCCACGGAATTTACTTTCAGGTTGGGTGCTCTGAATCCGAGCACTCGCTGCTGGAGTTCGGGGTTGCCATCATATTATAGGGTTATATATTCTGTCTCCTTCAAGTCCCGAGTCTTCAGAGGAAAATGAAGACAAGACATTGGGGAGAAGAGCAGAGTCATGTACTTAAGAAATGAAGAGCATGTGGACACACACACACACACACACACACCACACACACACACCACACAGACACACACCACACAGACACACACCACACAGACACACACACACAGACACACACCACACAGACACACACCACACAGACACACACCACACAGACACACACCACACAGACACACACCACACAGACACACACACCCACACACCACACACACACACACACACACACACCCCACACAGACAGAAACCACACAGACACACACACGCACACACCACACACAGACACAAACACACACAGACACACACCACACAGACACACACCACACAGACACACACCACACACAGACACACACACACACAGACACACACAAACACACACACACACCACACAGACACACACCACACACGCACACACCACACAGACACACACACACACACACACCACACACATTCTCCTAATATCCACCTTCCCTGGTGGCTGCTCACCTGAAAGAGAAACTCTCAATCCTGGGTCCTGACGAAAAGACGTGAGAAATCGGTCTGGGGTTGAATCTCTGTGGCCAGGAGAAAACATGAGTCTGTGCTCCGGGACTGGAGATTGCCAAGGCAATATCAGAACCAACTCATAATGGGAGACAGGAAAGAAAGGAAAGGGGGCAATGGAGCAGTGGGTGTATTCACTGTCTGCTGAAGTGTGCTGCACACTTACCATTCTGGCTAAAGAACACCTCCTTTGTTGGCAGAAGCGTGAAAGACAGGGGAATCGCTTCCCTGTTTTATTTTGGAGTCTAAGATAACCCATGTCCTCAGGGAATTCATAGCCTCTTAGAGGAGACACAAATCAAGTGAGTGGTAGAGGCCAGGGTGTACATGCAGCAGAAGAGCTTACAGATAATGTC